GAGACAGGGAAGCTTCCTTTGATGCTACCCTCTGAACTTAGGGCAGCTCATAATACCATTAGGTAATAATAACTGCCAAGCCATAGTGCAGAATCCACACCACTGTGGCCAAGTGGACATCTAAACAATTTTAACACCTGAGGCTCCCTCAAGCCACCTGTCACTTCCTAGCATTTTAAATGGAGCCACTCTAAAGAGCTCCCAAAATCCCCTAATGAGAAAGGGTCAGCAAAGAAACTTTAGGAGCCACTACGGCTATTTATCCTTATTTCGGAGAACAGAGGCCAGGATTACTGCCAGTCAGTAAGATATAATGTAGCTCCAGTCTAAGGATTTAGAAGCCACCCCAGAAAAGGAAAAGGAAATAGTCCCCAAAAGGGGTTACATGTCCTCTAAACTATCTATGATGACAACTTAGTCCTGCCAGGGAGGTGGCAGGATGAGTGGAACAGGTCAGGACTCAGCCAGGAAACAAGCCCTCTGTTCTCAGCTCTGCTGTTTCCTGGCTATGTCGTCTTGAAAAAATTACTGTCTATGTATTATGTATTATGATATATTTCATATGCACTTTGAAATTTAAAAAATAATTCCTTCTTTGTGTATTGCATGGATTAATAAATTAATATTTTTGAAAGCAATAAAAGCCAAATATGGTCTTCAGACAGGTTTGTCTGGACAAGATATTGTTTAGATGATTTCATATAAAAGTAGAGATTTACAAGTCATCTTAAAAGTGGGAAGATAGGCCTATATTTCCCCATAGAAACACTCAGTAGGAATCCACTGAGAAGTGGCTCGCCCCTTGAATTAACACAGTCCCCACTACTCATAGTCTGAGTGTGTATTTGCTCCACTTATTTCTAGTCTCACCTCACTCCTCTAGTTATTTGAATTTACAATCCCTGTTTTTATTGCAGATTAACAAATTTTAAAGGAACCAAATTGGTCATACAGTAAAATTTTATATATGTTCACAAAATATGATTTAAGAGTCACATTCATAATCTCTCTCTGTGTCTCACATGCATACACAATTAAATTCTAGCTACAAGTCTGGAGGGCTTTGTTTAGCAATAGGAGCAAGATGTGGGTTTTGCAAAGCTTTTCCTGGTCTGCAGTTTTGTCCAACTCCCATGCTACCTTTTCCTTAAAATTGTAAATGTTCTTGCTAATATTTCTATTCCCCTGTGTGCTATTAGAGGAGGAAATAGTTTTCCTCAAATCTGTCAGTCAAGTTGATATGGGCTGATCTGCAGAGAGAACAGTGGCCCCTGACAGCCAGGAGTGGTAATAGCAACCACCAGGATGGATGTGGGTGCGCCCAGTGGTCAGGAGACAGTGAGAACCAGGAGAGAGCAGTTGAGGCCCTGGTGAGAGAGAAAGTTCTCTGCTCCCCTCACCTAGAGAAGTAATAAACACACAGAGGCAGCCAGCAGTGCTGGGTTTAGCTCATCTACCACTGACTGACCAAAGTCCATTCAAAAGTGCTTTCAGCAGACCCCAAGTTGCAGTTTTCTGTCTGTAAAATGAGGTAACAGGAGCTTAAAGAAACTTCCTGTCACAAAATTCTTTGTTCGTATTGAATATTTGTATACCAAGTCTAAAATGGGTTATTTTAATTTCATCATTAACTCTAAATAAGTACCATTTACCAAGTATCTTGAATGTTTAGACACTACGATACCGGGACTTGATTTTACGTAATCCTCATTATACCTATTTTACAAACATGGGAACAAGTGATGCCAAACCACACAGGAAGCAGTGGACCGAGAACTCACCGCCCAGCCTGCGTTTCTTCACATCATTCTACTCTCAGTAAAGAAATGGGAAGCTGGAGGTGGTGTATCAGGGAGGAGGAAAGTGCAGAATTTGGGGAAAGCAGGGTTTTTCAGAGACCTCATCACCGTCCCTTCAAGACCAAGCTGTTTCTCTATTCAACAATGTTAAAAAGAGTCTTTTGTAGCAGGGGCCTTGGATTAAGGCAAATCTGAAAATCAGTGCTGTCTCTACAACGCGCTTTATAGACTTGGGGCTTGCTTAGTTTCTCAGCCTCAGCATCCTCATTTGTGAAATAGAGAGGCTCACTTATCTAATTATTTAATAAGAGAACATATAATACACCTTGCAGAGAAACTTGATATGAAAATATATCTATTCCTGCATTCCTGGAATATTTTCCAGTATATCATTGTATGGTCTTCTTTTGGCACTAACTGGAGTCAATTGCCACTTTTCATTTAAAAGACATTATTCTATAATCACAAGAGAACAAGAATGTTTCCACATCAGACAAATTTTCAACACATTAAAGCAGACAATTATAATCATATTAGTGGATGCTGACAAAGGATTAGATAGGATTCACTAAATGAGTTTATTAAAAAAATGAATAAAATTGGAATATGAATGAGCTATTTAAATGTTATAAAGTTTACTCAAAGACCTAGCAGCCAACTATTGTTCTAATAGGTGAGACACTAATGCCATTTCTATTAAAATGAGAGACAAAATTTGAAAGTTCACTTTCACTCAATATTTTATAGTGGGTTGGAGATTCTAGTGAATTAAATTAAGTAAATGAAATAATTTGTATGAATATTGGGCAAAAGTTACCGATAATCTTTTACTTATATACGCTAAACACGAATAAAATCCAAAAATTAAAAAGAAAAAAACCTACTATAATGTATATGATAATTTGGTAAAGTGTATATTAATGCAAGATGAAAAGCGTTTTGCTCAATCTAGCGATATATTTGTGGAAATAAAAATGGAGATGTGTTTTATTTATAGTAGCAACAAAATCGTACATTTAAAAACTACATGGAAATAAATTTGACTAAAGCAAATAATTTTTATTGAAAAATGCTAAAAAAGTATTGATCAGTGAAACACCTATCATATATTCTTGGATGTGAAAACATTATCACAAATGATAATTCTCTTACATTTACTTTATAAAAACAATGCTCTTCCTGTTAGAATTCCAAAGCTCTTGTTTGTTTTGTGAGAGGGAGATCGCTTTATATCAGTAACATATTAACTAAATCACACAACGAGGCTACTCTACTCGAACAATGACATGTGATGATATACCAAAATCCAAAAACGATCCATCAAGCAAAGTCCAACTACACGCACATTTAAAAGATGATATACATAATATTTTATTTCAGTGAGAAAAAGAGACTATATTTAATAGATCATGCTGTCACTAGTTACGCATTCACCTTGATTAATGTAAGTTTGAACTTCTGACAAAGAAAGACTTAAAAGTAAAAAATAATACAACAATTTTAGAAAATAAGGATAAGAAACTATACGTAGAACATGGGGGCCAAAGATACTTTTTTTTAAAAAAAAAGCAACATATTAAACACAAGAATTGTAAAGTAAAACAAAGGTGGATTTGTTTATGTAAAATTATCTATATCTGCTTGAGATTTGATTGCCTAAATAAGGCCAAAGACAAATACTATATTAATAAAGGCATAAAACTTGGATCTCTTGCACATTTATATTTAAAAAACCGATAGTAAAATTGATGAAGGGAATTTGAAGAGGCTATTCATGGAAGAGAAAACAAAATAACCAACAGTATGTGAAAGGCATTCATTGTTACTATTAGGGAAATCCAACATAAAGTAAAATGAATAATTCTCACTAGTAAAATTAATGAAAATTTAAGAATAGTAGAGACAGTGAATTTTGGTGGATTTGCAAGAAAAAGCCACACTCCTACATAGAGTTGAAACAAGAACTGGTATAGACTTTGCAGAAGGGAATCACTAATACATAACTGAAATTCAAAATCTACAGCCCTTTGAAACCAGGAGTGATGACCTGGTGATCAGTCTTACAGAAAGACGAGCATAAGTGCACATGAAAAGCTGAACAAGAATGTTTATTACAGCACTATTTGGAGTCCATAAAACTGAAGACAACTCCAATAACTGTTACTAGGAAATAGTTGAATTATTTGCAGTCCACCCATGCCAAGGAATATTTTGTAGTTATTTGAATAAATTATATCCATACTGATTTATTTGGAGGGATTTCCACCATAAGAAAAACAAGATGCAGAAAGGCATATAGCATGTATTTAACTTTTGTACTACAAATGAAGCAAGCTCTTCATATATGTGCATTACTCGTAAGAATATAAAGGAAAAAACATTAGGAAATTAACCATGCTTATAGAATAAAACTGCAATTATACTTGTTAGTCCACTTTTGCTGAGTACTAATCACAAACTCTTGGCTGCATACAACTACAGAATTTATTGCAATGCTCACCGACTATCTGGTATACAGAGGTCCTCTTGATCTATGCTGCTTTGATCCGGTGGCTCTGATTCAGGTCTCTGGTCAGTTGGGACTGGCTTCAGGCTGTAGGTTTGGGTCAGAACTGCAGCATGTGTCTCATTCTGGGGACCAGGTTGAAGGGGCAGTACCTACCTGAGCTATGCACTATTCACAGCACAAGAAGAAACCCCATTGCAAAATCCTGTGTAGGCTCCTGCTTTTATCATGTCCACTAACAGTCTATTGACCAAAGCAAGTCATATGGACTACCTTGACCAGAGCAAGTCACGTGTCCAATTCAGAGTGAAAGTGATGGTAAATACAGTCTGCTCACTCTGACCCCCATGATGTGGATGTGGATGTAGGAAGTAAAGAATTAAGACCAATACTTTCATGTATCATGTGTAAAATTCCATTTATATAAAACTTTACATTTATTAGCGTTTACTAAAAAGGTAATTATGGCTACATTTGGATAATATAGTTTAAGGTAATTTTTATTTATTCTATTTTTTCCAAATTATTTGAAATTTTAATTATAAATATGCATAGATATTCAAAAAGTATACTAACATTTTGAAAATTAAGTAAAGGGTGAAAAAAATGCAATTATTTTGTGGCCTGATCAGAGTTATACAGCATATTTCTTGGTGTGAAGAGCCTAAATGAGATACTTACTTGCATCTTCCTCATTTATACAATCCCCATGGATAAGCCAGAATTTCTACTTCTTATGAAGTTCCAACACTAGTTGAAGGTCCTCTGTCTAGATGAGAACATTTCTGTCTTCTCTTTCCTTCACTGTGTAGCTGATTAACTCCTCCAGTTTCCTCAGTTATTAGGGTATAGATGTGGTGGAGAAATGAACAAAAACAAAACAACAGACACACACTTCGATCGTTGTGACAAGACCTAAATTCTGGCTCTTTCTGTCCCACAGATCTGTAGTGTTACGGTGGGTATGTCACTGTCATTCTCTGGGGCTTGTAAGCTTTCATCGATAAATACATGTGCACTTCTCGGGACAAGCAGATACATCTGTGAATGTGTGCTTATGTTTACCCGAGTGACAATTTCATGGATGGTGAACTGATTTCTCAGTCATAGTAACCTTTGCATCCGATAGCCTTGAACCACCAAATGTAGAGGGATATCCTCCTCACTAAGCACAACCCACCTTCCTGGAGTACAACCTCTTAATAATTCTCTCTCTAATCTCCTTCATCTTGACACTATAGAGAATAGGGTTTACCAGTGGAGGAAGCAGGAAGTGGACATAGGAGAGAAGTGTATGTGCAGGCTGAGGGATTGGCACTCTAAGACGGTCAATTAGTGCCAGGAGGATCATGGGCACATAGAAGAGGAGGACAGCAGAGAGGTGGGCAGCACAGGTTTGGCAAGCCTTCCAACGATCTTCACTGGACCCCAAACTTTGCAATACCCTGCCAATCAGGCCATAGGAGAAGAAAATAATTAGGGGGTCCAATCCCATGGCTGACAGGACCACAAAGAAGCTGTAAACTGCACCCCAAGCTCCTGGGCAGGCCAAACGGGCCATATCTGGGTGCAAACAATAAGAATGGGTCAGGACTTGTGGGTGGCAGTAGGGCATGTGGGCCAGGAGGAACGGCAGGGGCAGATGGAGACCCAGGCATTGGGAAGCAATGGCCAGGCCAATCTTGTTAATGTCGCCATTGGTGAGAAGTGTTGGGTAGTGGAGAGGGCGGCAGATGGCCAGTGCCCGATCTACGGCCATGGCAAGCAAGACAGAGGACTCCATAACGGAAAAGACATGGACAAAGAACATCTGTAGGAGGCAGGCTGAGGCAGGGACAGCATGAGCATCAGCAAGGGCAAGACCCAGCAGGGTGGGCATCAGAGTTGAGGCCAAGCCAACATCAGACACACTAAGCAGGAAGAGGAAGAAGTACATGGGGCGGTGCAGGTTGGGCTCCAGGGCAATGATCCAGAGGATAGTACCATTGCCCGAGACAGAGAGAAAGTAGACAGTGATGAGGGGTATTGTCCACCAGGAGGGTACAGCTGACAGGCCTGGCATGCCCACCAACAGGAAAGTGGGGGCCATTGACGTGCTGCCGTTGGGGGTTGCCTGGGTGCGGAATGTTGACATAGTTCGGGATCCCACTTTGAACTCTAGAACCTGAAAATTGATTAGAAAGATTTACTTAATCTTATGACACATTTGCATGATACTTTCTAAAACAGACTGCCTCTTCTCTCCTCTGCCCCACGCACACACACACGTCCCCTCCCTACACACATACATTCTACTGTCTATGCTTTAGTCATCCCTTGCCTTGGAGCTTTTCCTATAGCTGTCCTCAAAGCTCTGTTTCTCTCCCTAAATTGCTTTCCCATTTTCCTTTAACCCTGCCTTTCCCTGTAGCATTTTCTTAATTTAGCTCCCTCCCTTAAAGACGAACACCTGAAAGAAGGTCTGTACGCCAATAAACGCTTTGTCTACTCCTCCCAATCCCAGGCCATCTGACTTCTGTGCTGCCCTAACACACTCACATTTCAGTTCACTTTATCTGCTCTCATTAAGATCCCCAATTACCCTTTTGTAACTAAACCAAAGACACTGATATTTCCTAAAGTGATTTACTTCTCTATGAGCTTTAGCTGTTATGAATCCACTTTCTCTTTTTCTTTTTAACTCTGCCTTTCAGAATTTAACTTCTTAGTTCACCTTGCTGTGTCCCATGCAACTTATACATTGGTATTTTTGAGGGATCTTTACTTGACTCTCTTCTTTTTCCTCAGTGGTCTTATTTACTCTCATTAATTGAACTAAACTCTATAAATTAATACACCACAATTATATGGCCCAGATCTTTCTATATTCATCCCATCCTGGAAATCTCTACTTGAATGTCTCATGCATTTTAAATTAAAACAATCCAAAACAGATCTTAACAGATGCATCTTAAAACCCCTTCCAGCTTCCTCAGCTAGGAGACAGTGCTGGGGAAATTATAACAATGACAAAAAGGAAACATATTTTGGTTCCCTAAGTCAGTTAGGAGCATCACCACTCACCAGTTTCCAAAATAAAACCCTCATAATCAGGCTCACTTCACTTATAATATCCAAATATTATTTATAATTTCAACAAGGACTGGGCACACACTATAGATATATTTCCCTCCCTAGTCAAATGCCTAAAAAAGTGAGAAATGAAATTCTGGGCTAAAGGACCATGAAAATTACAATACGGGGAAAAGCAAAATAAAAACATGCTAAGTTATGTTTTTACAGGAATGATATGGATGCAAGTTAACTCTAAATATTTATTAGAAAAATCTAAAGGCATATATTTTAAAATATAAAGTTAATTTTTAAAAATAACATGTAAAACCTTCAAACTATAAGAGGAAAATAAATGAAAGAAAGATCTTAATCAATCTAACAGAAAACACTTAAAGAGGAATACAGAAACAGATGTTGATTTCTGGTGTGATGGAGTAAGGAAGTTGAAAAATCCTCTCTTCCAAAAAGCAACTATAAAAGTGGCAAATCTGTCAGTATCATTTTAGTGCTCTGAAAATCCATCAAAGACACAAGCCTGGTCATTAAAATTACTGAACTTTGGAAAATAACTACCCTGTTCTTGGCATTCTGGCCTGGGGCTTCCCTCACCATCCCCACTACCTCCAGTTCTATCAGCAGGGGTCAGACAAGTAAAGCCAACAGCTTTGTTCCAGCTGCTTGACTTGGCTTCCTTGATATGGAACTTGTCAGTTAGTGTGATGATCTTGGTGGCAAGCAAATAGGGAGGGCCAGAGGCTCTACTGCCCTGAGTGTGTGGTCTTCTTTGTGGGGAGTCATGGACTCACCCAACTGGGAATTTAATAGGGGGTTTTGGCAAAATGGCAGATAGCATTCCAACCATAACAATAACTAAAAGTGAATGAAGTAAACAATCTTCACAAAAAGCAGACATTGTTATAGAGAAAAAAAACCAAGGAATAACTATATTCTGTACACAGGAGACATACCTTAGATTCCAAGATGTAAACAGATTGAAAGTAAAAAGATGGAAAAACATATACCATGCAAAAATAAGCATAAAGGGGCTGGCTATACCAATGTCAGACAAAAAAGACTCCAAGATAGGAAATATTATAGACAAAGAAAGACATTTCATAATGAAATAAGGTCAATATCAGAAAAATATAACAATTATAGATGCATATACAATAACACTAGATCTCTAAAATGCCTGAAATGAAACTGACAAAATTGAAAGGAAAAATAAGAGATTCAACAGTAATAGTTGGAGATTTCAATATCCCACCCCCAATAATTTATTAAAAAATTAGACAGAAAATCAGCAAGGAAATAGAACTCTTGAACAAAATTATGAATCAAAAATGACATTTATAGAATACTCTGTACAACATTCTATATGATAGACTATACTCTGGGTGACAAAGTAAGCCTCAATAAACTTTAAAACATTGAATCATACTAAGTATGTTTCTGGCTACAATGGAACTAAATTAGAGATCCGCAATTGCAAGATATCTTGGCTTTAAATCACATACTTCTAAACACTGACATGTGCCACATAACAATACTTCAGTCCATGATAGACTGCATATACAATGGTGGTCCTATGAGATTATTATCACGTAACCTAGGTGTGTAGTATGCTACACCGTCTAGGTTTGTGTAAGTACATTACAATGTTCACACAATGAAGAAGTCGCCTAACAACACATTTCTTGAAATGCATCTCTGTTGTTAAGTGATGCATGACTGTAATCAATGGGTCAAAGAAGAAATAACCAGGAAAATTAAGAACTATTTTGAACTACATGAAAATGAAAACACAACATATCAAAACTAGGGCAGGCAGGTAGAGCAGTGCTTTGAGAAAAATTTATAGCTTGGAATGCCTGTATCGATAAAGTTCTCAAATCAGTAATCTGAGCTTCTACCTTAGATAGTTGTAAGACAAAGAACAATTAAAACCCAAACTAAGTACAGGTGAAGGAATTAGAGTAAAGATCAACAAAATGGAAAACTAAAACCAACAGAGGAAATTAATGAAACCAAAATTTGTTCTTTGAATAGATCAACAAGTTGAAAATGCATAGCAAGCCTTAACAAAGAAAACCAGAGACACAAGTTATCAAAATTAGGAATGAAACAGGAAACATCACTTCTGACTTTAAAGAAAGCAAAATGATTATAAGGGAATATTATAAACAACTATACACTAACAAATAGACAACATAGATGAAGTGAAAAAAATTCCTAGAAAGACATAAATTACCAAACTGACTCAAGAAGATATAATAAATCTGAAAAGACCCACAGCAAGTAAAGAAACTAAATTATTAATTAAAAATTTTCCTACAGGGGCCGGCCCGGTGGCAGAGCGGTTAAGTGCCCATGTCCCGCTAAGGTTTGCTGGTTCGGATCCCAGGTGCAGACATGGCACCACTTGGCACGCCATGCTGTGGTAGGCGTCCCACATATAAAGTGGAGGAAGATGGGCATGGATGTTAGCTCAGGGCCAGGCTTCCTCAGCAAAAAAAAGAGGAGGACTGGCAGTACTTAGCTCAGGGCTAATCGTCCTCAAAAAAAAAAAAAAAAATTTCCTACAAAGAAAACCCCAAGCTCAGATGGCTCATTGGTAACTTATATCAAATATTAATATAAGAAATGATACCAAATGTTTCCCAAACTCCTTTTAAAAATAGAGGAGGATTTAGTAAATTTCAATTCATTCTAGGAGTATAGTGTGACCTTGATTCTAAAGCCAAAGGCATCATAAAAAAAGAAAACTACAGACAAATATCTCTGAAGTGAATAGACATACAAATTCTTAACACAATATTTTAGCCAACCAAATTCAGCAACATATAAAAAGAATTATACACTGTGATTAAGTGGGATTTATTCCATAAATGCAAGGTTGGTTTTACATTTCAAAATCAGTTAATCTAAAACAACGTATTAGTAGAATAAAGAACAAAAACTGCATGGTCGCCTTACTTGACACAGGAAAAGCGTTTGTCCTATACCTGCTCATGATAAAAACTCTTCAAAACTAGATATAGAAAGGAACTTCCTCAACCTGCTGAAGGGCATTCATGAATAAACCTACAGCTAACACCATACTTGACTGTAAGATTTAGAATGAGGAGAAAATATCTGCTTTTGCCACTTCTATTCAACATTGTACTAAAGATTCTAGGTGATGCACCAACAAAACAAATTAAAGTTTCCAGTTTGGTACGGAAGTGATAAAATGACCTTTATTTACAAATGACATGCACCTATATGTAGAAAATTCTAAGGAATCCATCAAAACACTACTAAAATTAATTAGTGAATTTAGCAAGGCCACTGATTACAAAGTCAAGATACAAACATCAATTATATGCCTACATAACAGCAATAAACAATATGACAATGAAATTAAGAACATTTTATTTACAATAGTATAAAAAATTTAATAATAGGTATAAATGTAACAAAAACTACACTATTTGTACACTGAAAACTACATAACAATGCTGAGTCTCTAAATGAATGGAGAGATAGTCCATATTTATAGATTGGAAGACTCGATATAGTTAAAATATCAATTATACCCAAATTGATCTATAGTTTCAGCAGTATCCCCAACATAAGACCTTTTTGTAGAAACTGATAAATTTGTCCTAAAATTCACATAGCAATGCTATGGAATTGGAATAGCTAAAATGATTTTGAAAGAGAAAAAACAGAGTTGGGAAAGTTACACTAGCCATTTTCAAAACTTACTATATAAAGCAACATTAGGGAGGATGGTGTGCTATTCACATACAGAGAGGTGTATAGATCAATGAGACAAAATTAAGAGTCTAGAAATACATTCTTGCATTTAGGGTCAGTTGATTTGCAATAAGGATGCCAAGGCACTTAAATAGGGAAGAGATTTTTTTTAACAATAGTACTGTTGACTATTGGATATCCATTTGCAAAGAAGTAAATTTAGACCCTTACCACAGATCATCCACAAATATTAACTTCAAATGGACCATGTACCTAAATCTAAGAGCTCCAACTATTAAACATTTAGAAGAGAAAAGCATAAAAACTTCATGACCTAGAGTTAGGGAAAGAGTTCTTATATAGGATACTATCAGCCCAAGCCATAAAGATAAAATTGATATTTAGAGTTCATTAAAATGAAAAACTTTTGCTCTTCAAAACACACTAA